ACTATGTAATTTGTTACACAAAAAAAATGTACCATCGAGATCATATGAAAAATGATCTACGTACACTCTACCCTTAATGTCTTCATAATATCCTCGACCAAGCAGAAACAAATCAGGAAAAATTAAAGCTTCGAGGTTCAGATCGGAGAACGAAATAAATTGTTTGGTGTTATTATTTATTATCGAATCAGCTATTAAGCGGTTGTAATTCGAGTCTTCGTTATGAATCTCTCGAGAGAACGAATCATTGGAGACGACTAAATCAGGGGGACGCGGTGTTCCATCAGGAAGGGTACTTCGATAAATACTTGAGGGTGAAACAGAACTAACGGCAGACTGGTATGCTAAAGGCAAAGGGGTGGGTACAGGATCTTCAGGTCTTGGGTTGGTAGAGACAACACTGGAAGCGTATTTTTGAATAAGCAGATTATTTTCTTTAAGCCAATTGGATGCAGGAATTAGAGAATCATAGAACCAATTCGGAGGTTCGTTAGCATTCAAGTAAGCATCGACCAGGCCAGAGTACAATTCTAAAGTTCTTCTGTTGTGAGAGAGATTCATTATTCCTTTTAGATGTCGATAGTTAGTATAGCGATTTAAGCCTGTTGCTCGGCCTAGAGAACAATCCAAATAAACAGGCGAAAGGTATCTTCTGTATAGAGTAGGGACAACAACAATTACAGAAGGGGTAGATGATAGTATCGGGGGATAACGGCGTGTTCTCTGATTCTTACAACTGTTACAAACAGCTACTTGTTCATTATTTTTCCTGTTAGTTCGCGTGCGCAAAGATATGTCAGAAAAAACACCCATCAACGTATACGATTCATTCTCGTTGTAAGGAATTCACATAATAGCAGATTCTAGCATGAGCATTGAACAATAGACACAAGGGGTATTTAGATAATCGAATAATATTTTGGACTGAAATTCATTTAAAAGACATCTAAGATCAGGGGACGGAACCCACAGAAGGAAAGAGGAAAAAGTGTTAGGCGGTAAAGTGATCATATTATTTTGAACAGAAAGATCGTTCTAAAAGGGTACGTTTGATAAATTTTGATTAATTTCATTTCGATAAATGTAAGGTTCAAAAGAAATAAGAGGTAAATTTTTGATGATTTTAGGATCGTCTAAAGTAGCAGAAAGAGGAACTTGGTTATCGTTAGACATTTTCTTAGAGTAAAAAATTGATCAAATAAACAAATTTATTTTTTATTTATCTATTTTTTTTTTTTCAGAGAGAGACGAGTCATCTATTTATAACGAATTGGGTCTTATTCTTATCATTAGGTATTTTATTTATAAGAATATTATCAGGTGAGTGAAATAATGATCGTACTGAGTGACCTGTTTATCAATACGATTCACATAAGGGATTTTCTTTGTTTTTAGCGATCGAGATGTAAATCAAAAACACGATGAGGATCATGTCGATTTTTTTTTCTCAAACCATTTAACAAAAATACTCACTGTAGGAAGTTCGAAAGCTGAAATGTAGAAATCTAACTTAATCGAGATCGGGTAATATATCTATCTTAGGGACGCTATTCTGCTTAAAATGCTCGAGACCGCTTAAAGAGATTTGTTCTCTATTTTAACGATCACTTTTTGATACGTGCTTAATTAAACTTATATATGCCATTTTTAAGAACATATTTTATTAATGGTAGTAAACGGTTTGGCTCAATTCGAAGTAGATATTACCACTTTTAATGCACAGGAACTCTGTTTATGAAACCGGTTTGCTTAAAACTGCTCAGAAGCAATTACTTATTTCAAGAATGATTTTTTAATTATCTGCTACTAATCAAACTTGTTATTAATATCTTTTCAAATGAAATTCTTTACAAAAATTTGTCAAAATTGAACTTGTTAAAAATAAGCAATACCATTAAAATACAAAATTTTGCAAATATAAGCACTTTATTAGCATTTTCTTATTATATTTTAATGTTATAAATATATTTGTCAATTATTATGCCAATAAAATGCTAATATTAGCAATATATTATCAATATTTCAGTAATAATAAAGGTCTAAAAATTATCATTATTTAACTAATTTTATTAGATATTTAAAGGCGCTGATAATGAAAAAAATCTTGTAATAAATTATCAAAATTGTTAACTTAATATTAATAATGCACTATATACTGCAAATAATTGCACATCTCGAAATTATCAGATTTTTGTAAAGTTACTTATTACAAGAAATTGATCTGATCCTTTTTTTAGTGAGTTACTTCGAAAAATAGTTTAGGTTATATGAAGCAAGATAACATCTCTAATTTATCTTCAATCGAGCGATGTATTGATTTTAACTTACCAGACAAACCTGAAATGATGATTCTTGTCGTCAAAAAGTCTATTTACTTTGTTAATTGTCGGGATCTCAAGATATACTCATTTCATTTTCTGATTATAAAATTTTGAAATATAAATAAGGTTTTAAAAACTTTTATTTAAAATCGTAATGCGCTATTTATCTGTTAACCTCAGAACTTACTAGTAAGGTAGATTCATTCTAATAAAAAAAAAAAAAAGTAAAAAAAAAATAAAAGTAAAACAGGAAAATACGAACGGTAAAAAATAACAACTTATAACGAATTACAATATTATCGTTATGTTATAATCATCACGATATTACAAAAAAAAAAAAAGGAAAGAAAAAAATATACAAGGGGGAACAGTAAACCACCACTAAATTAATTCATCGTTTTGCTAATGGATTAATTCAGTCTCATCTTTATCTAATTCTTGCACAACAAAGGTGCCAGGTTTAATTTGAGAAACGGCTTCTAAAAATCTATCGTTAACTGACTGCGTATTGTCTTTTGGTTATTTCGAAGAGGAAGCCGATGATTGATTGATTCTAGTGCGTTTTCTTGATTTCGTTTTCACATATTTCTCTTCAATACTATCTAATTCATTATCGAAGTCATCCTGGAATTAAAGATAGCAGAAGATTTTTTATTACGTAATCAAAAACAGGAGATTATTAAAGACGGGCAAGGTAACAAAATAAGCGCGAAATATTTATTCCTTTACCCTTACATATTTTTACGTATCAGTACTTATCATCGTACACTACGATCGATTGACGGTAATTAGAGTGTCCAGGGGACTGCAGTGCATAAATCTCCTTACTCTAAAAATAATTTCTTGTATTTGCTTTTTAAAGTTATGTTTTACCTCCCAAGATAATAGGGGAAAATATTTTTAGAGTGAGCAGATTTACACACTGCAGTCCCCTGGGTATTTTAACAGTAACGATTCCTAACGATAAGTAACAATACGTAATGATAAAACGGTGAAAAAACATTCAAGACTGATTTTTTACTACTTTCACCTGGGATTATATAATTTTATTGTTGGAGGTGTTTGACGACGATTTTCCTACATAATTCCACTCTATCTCAGACGCCACGATATAGGGTATTTTATTCGAACCTATTTTAAGTCTTCCTACAGTAAACAGTATGGTTTTGTTTAGATTGTCTTTCAACGCATTATACCTACCATGGTCATCAGAATAAGATACAAGGTGAGCTTAAAAACAGGATAAAATATGAGTATCCTATAAGAGATAAAACACTATACGCAGTTACATATATGTACATATTCCATATCACTTTCGTATGTGTAATGTCCTATCATCAGGATGATAAAATCTTTCTCAAAATCAATAATCAATGATTCCGAGCTCCTCATATAACCCTTGTAAGTAATCTGTCTAAACTTGTCTGCCATGCTATTTATTCTATACAACGCGTTGCCGGTTAAGTAATTATCATTTTCACCGACAGATTTAACAAAACAATAAGATATAAATATAGAAGACATTGGGTAATCGAACAAACAAACAAGTATATAAACAAATTATTTCTCTTTGTTAAAGTAAAATTAGAGCACAGAGCATAAAAGTACAGAGACCAAATAACAGACAAGAAGTTGAACGGTATTTATAATGAAACGGATTAATACACTCTGATCGATTTTCTGATAATAAACCGTCACTCCATGAAGATAGAAAAAGATCGTTACTCAGAGTCCATCGCAGATCAACGGCGAAAAGTGAATACTTTCGTAAAGAGCAATAGTAAGAACATCAACCAAGTTTTTTTCACAAAACCTATCACATTCGACATCAAATCATCGAATATTAATTGATCATCAATTAATAAAAATAACGATATAACACATGGAAAAAATTAAAAAAATCCCAACCATCTAACAGATGGTATGTTTTAGGATAATTTGTCGAATATCACGTGCACTAATAAACATGATACACGTTCATCTGACAGAGCACTTCCAGATCTGGTTGTTTCTACAAACATTTAAAATACGAATAGGTACAATAAATACAAGGCTGATTTTACCAACGCAAATCACATAGACGCATTCCCCAAATCGGTTTCACGGCAGTACAAGGATCTCTTACAAGACAGAAAAAAAAGAAAAATTCAACGTTAGAGCCCAACGACGAGCGTAAGTAAGCAAAATATTTGTTACTCATAGATCAGCGAAATTTTTATCAATCAAAGCAAAAGAACACCAATCTACAATCAGCATAGAGCAATCGAGTACCAGCACAAACCACTTATTATCACCACACACCCAACAAATAACTCATCGCCATGTAAATAACGTAACGACAATAACGATCATGTAACAATAAAACAAAAAGAAGGGAATAATTTTCTCATCCTAACAAAGATAATCAGTAGCATCCGGGAACATCACAGCGCAATCGACACAAATTGACATAGGAAACACAACAAAGCCAGATCAACCAAGTTACAAAAAGCTGATCAGAAAAAATCGGCATAACAAATCTCCACGGTATAAATAAGACTTCTATCCAAAGTGGAATGGAATGGAGCGGTAAGGTATGATCATGATTATTGATCAAACAAGACAAAAAAAAAACCAAAAAACAACAATCGACCAAGCATACTGCCCAACAAACAATAAGCATGATCACTAATCACTGATCAATGATCAAGAAACTAATACACAACGACCCAATTCCCGTGTAACATAAGATCACCTAAAAAAGCAAACAAACACGACGCTCGTCGACCATCCTAACCAGAAATAACAAAAAGATAACACAAAAGACGAAATGGCGTAACACAACACCACGGCTAACCCACAAGGGTGTTAATTAATAACCCAGTTACATACACGCATATTTAAATCCCGTGCCTTCGGCATGGAATATGAACCCGTGTGTAACTGGGTTATTCACTACATACCCATACAATAACTGTGGCGGATCATAATGAAATCCAGATCAAAATGAAATTATAATATAAAATCTCGAAAAATAAAATTTTTTGGGGTCATTTTTTAGGGATAGGGGTTAGGGTTAGGGGTTAGTTTTAAAGTAAAGTTATAATAAACAAGTATAAGTGGGTTTTAGAAGGTTAACAGGTTGAGTAGAAAATGTAGATTTCATTTTAAATTATGATCCGCGACAATAACTATAAATTATTTATCGTTATTGTTATATAGTAAGCTTTCCGTTGGCCACTGTCTACAGTATTCCCTAAAAATAGCATCCTACCACATAAAGTACCCTTCTCCACCAATGAGATCGATTTAAAACTGAAGTTCTTGAATACAGGAATCAGACCTTGAGTACTGTATACAGCGGCCAACGGTATAAAATATACATGGGTGCCGCTATCAACAGGATTTTATATTTATAATTTTATCGGTCACAATTCCTAACAAATTAGATAGATTGATTCCTCAATTGCTTCAGGCAACGATATTAAAAAGTATATCATACTGATACTGTATTGTCATTCTTATTTTATTCAATACAGTACAGTACGCATTTATATTTAATAATATAAAAAGGTGTACTGTACGGATATATAGTATAGTATTTCTAAAACACAGTACGAACTTCTGCATCCTGTTTCATTTCGGAAAATTCGCATTGATTGTCGGCAAATTTTGTAGTAATCAGAACCAATTATTATTATGCGAGAATTACATAGTATCGGTATATAGTATTTAATGTACGTACGTACTTTATGTAGAATATTTAACCTATTATGCATTATCGGTTATATCAATGTTGTCATGGAACAGTTGTAAACATGAATTTGGACACTTTTTGGGTGTTTATAAACAAAATAAATCAATTAAATTACTCGAAATTTTATTACATAGTCTTTTAACTTTCTAAATAAAAATATTATCGTTATGCGGTTTTATGCGATTTGCATAAAATCACCATCCCTGCGGATTTCGCCCTGTCATATTATAATTAGTACGTACAGAAGTACCTTTTACTTATTACTAAAGATTAAAATCAAAGTATATATTCATTTATTAAGTTAGGACTATAATAAACATTATTAAAAATTACAGTATAAATTTGTATTAAAATTGCAATATGACAATAATGCGAATTTTGCATCAGGCTATGAATTATTATATAGGAAGTCACATATGGCATAAAATTACAAACAGCGTATGTAACATAATGGTAGGTAACAAATGATAAGTCACTAATGAATACTACGAGATCCAGAATCTTTATTGGTGACCATCGATATTGTCTGTAATTAGATATCTAGTAGATTGTATAGCGATTGTTAACAATTAAAATCCAAATTTTCGCTAGCACGTACAGTACGTATATAAAAACTACGATTCTCTCTTTATAAACTATTAAATACAAGAATTAATTTATCTCATGGATACTATGCTTTTTTGACAAGGTTATTTTCATCGGTCTATATGAAAATCACATGGTTCATATAGACTAATAATCTTAGCATCGTGTGTTATGTGTGTTATGTGTGTGTTATGTAAGTTTGGGACCTTTAAATTGTTGTGCTAGAAAGAACTTTATTTAGGTTTCGACCTTTTAAATTGTTGTGTGCTGGAAAGAACTTTATTTAGGCTTCGGCCATTTAAATTGTCGTGTGCTAGGTAAAACTTTATTAGATTTTAGTTTTTAAATTGTCGTGTGCTTAGAAAGAACTTTATTTAGATTTGGGTCCTTTAAGTTGTCGTGTGCATGGAAGGATTTATTTAGATTTTAAATTTTTTAAATTGTTGTACATTTAGAAGATTGTTAGTGCTAAAAAAAAACTAATTCTTTTTAAATTAATTTCTTTTTGATTATAAAATAACTTTTTTTTGTTTAAGAAATAATAATGGTTAAAGAGTATAAAATAGCAAATTTATAGTAATATCTCGAAAGTTAATATAGTTTTTTTTCTATTAGAGTGGAATGCAGCTAGCATACAATAAATCTTTTTTGAGTTTCTAACGAATATTATAAAGCAAGTTATTTCTATTCTAATAGTAGTAGAATTATTAAAATTGGTTTAGTAGATCGCGAGTTATTGTCATTGTCATCTTCATGACTTGACTATATGCATAACTATATGATTTTTACATATTGCATCTTACATATTACCAGAAACTTTCGGCATTCCAACATTATACGAAAGTAATAGTAATTCTCCGCCGATTTTTACTATGAAATTTATAACCTTCTACCACTTAATTATTGTCGCAGATTAAAATGAAACAGAGGACTTCACTTGCTCATCTTTAAAGATTATAAAACCCACATATACTCTTTTATTAATAACCCTAACCCTAATACTAAAAAACGTCTCCTAAAAATTTTTAAATTTTCCTTAAAAAATAGAAAATTTTCATTTTAATCTGATTTCATTTTAATCTGTCACAATTATTTATATTTATTTAAATAAAAAAAAGTTGTATTATTTAATAATCATAATTGCTTTATTATTTGAAAGACTCGATAATTATTTAATATCGTAATAATGGTCTTTTTTGAGTACCGGCGATGCTTCATACAATAGTTCGTGGAATGATTCATGTGACGGTCTTGGCAATAGTTCGTGTAGTGGCCGTGGTGATGGTCCTGGCGATAATTGTTATTTTATTGTTTTTAATTTTCTTTGTTTAATTGTTAATAATAAATATATAGAGATTCGTGATAACGTGCTGCACGGGTTGTTACGTCGTACAATGGGATAATTTATTGAAGTCGATAATTTAAAAAACATTTAATTTCAATGTACAGTCGGTTGACACTTTTATTAGCTTCTAACAAAATATAGTAATGTTATACTCCCAATCGCAATTTACCCCTTAATTATTTCTTATAGTATATTAACGTTAATTAAAATATTTAGAATTTAAATTATTAAGTTTATTCAAATTATTTTGGTCATTGCGAGAATAATTTATTTAGAAAAATGTAATTAACAATAGTCAAGCTGTTATTAAATATATACTAAAAATATGTATATACGTAGATAAATTTTACGTTTCTATTTAACAAGAATACTATATTTTCAATAACTTAATTTCAATTTAAACCTGTTTAAAATTTATTAAGCATGCAATTTGTGTAATACATACAGAAAAATAAACTTTGCGATTAGGAACTTTTTTTGATTAGAATTTGGGATTAGAGTTTATGCATTCAAAGATATGGACTATTATAAGATTGATACAATGTGAGATCAATCATCGTGTTTTACCATCCAAAAGCGTTGAAAATATATATGTTGTAAGTGGGAATGGAATTTCTTAGGACTTTAGGGTTAGGGTGTATAAAATCATATAAAATTATATAAAATCATATAAAATCATATAAAATTATATAAAATCATATAAAATCATATAAATAAAATTATATAAAATCATATAAAATCATATAAAATCATATAAAATAAATTCTATTCTAAAATTATAGTTCTATTAAGAAATCCATTTTTGGATTTTTTGTTCATGAAAGTTCCAGATTTCAACTTTTCTAAGGGTTGCATTTGAAGGTTACATGAAATTATGTAACTCTTATCGGTCTTATTGGGTAGTAATTTTACAGCGCCAGTCACTGTTATATCTTATAGAACTATATTTGGGATTTTATGTGATCAAAATGTAACGAGAAAATGTAACGAGAAAATGTAACGAGAAAAAGATCAATCTAACGAGAAAAAGACCTTTACATTAACTTTTAAGATCAATCTAACGAGAAAAAGACCTTTACATCAATTATTTAAATATGTTCTGCATTTATTCTCTTGCACATTCATCATATTCATGCGCATACAGTCACCCACAGTTTTAACTTTTGTGAGAGGTTACGGATCGTACGTACTGATCTCATACATACTTCGAATGGCAACTTATTACCAAAATATGCATTGTCATTATTTATAGTTAAATTTGAGATGGATTTTTTAATTAGTACTTTCGCATATGTCACAGCTCGTTTGCAACACAAGATATTATTTTGTCATGAGCAACAGATTATTTGTTGACATTCTAAATTGCTTAACTAACAATTCATTTTAATATAGATAAAAAAAATGCACACCATCAGAAATATATATACACATTATTATAATAATAGATTATTTACCATTTTGCATGTATTGACGAATAAATTTTATGTTCCTATGCAACCCTACATAACTATAATGTACATAACTATAATGTTCTTTATTTAAACTCAATTATCTAGGATATATTTTCGTTAGGTGATTGGCGGATCAAGTCTTCAATTTTTTTCTTTAATTTATATATAAAGTGCAATCAAAAACAATTCTCCAATTTTTATGATATTATCATTGTAAATAGTTTATGAGCTAACGGTAAGTAAAGATTTATGATAAACTTGATATATCAATATATCAATATATCACATGTAGACCTGTTCATTATTAACGTTTTTCTTATAACATCTATCGCTATCTGATTTCAGTTTCTCAAAAAAAAGATCTCGATTAGTAACTACGAATTCTCGCTCAAAAATTCTCGCTCAAACACAAACATTCTATCTTCATATTATATATCATGGACTGCCGAATAATATTATTCGCATTTTTTTTTTATGTGTTGATGTTACTTAATTTAACTTGTCTCGGATTTGGTGAGTTAATTTAACGTTTATGTTTAATTTAATTTAATGCTTTAAAAAAATTAAAAAAATTACAATTTTCAACTTCCCTTCATTAACGTTAATAATTGTCAATTACTGTATACAGAAATTGTAAAACTTGTAATTTTTAGCCAAATAGACGATAAAAATTTTATTAGGACGGATTCAACTGTTGAAAACATGTAAATATTTATATGTCATTTCCTTTAATGCAATCTCGCATTCTCAACTCTTTTTTTTTTTTTTTAATAAAGTTATTTAGCATTGACGGCTATAACTTTTCTTAAAGATAGTAAGTATCTTTTCTTAAAAGAATTATCATTAAAAATATATACTCATTATATACTCATGTTATTTAATTACATATATAGTTACTTTTACGTTCGCAATTTGCCGAGGATCGTATGACCTTTATAACCCACGAGAAAGAGCAAGAATATGTTTCCTCTTTATGCTCGCGTGGATAGCAATTCCAGGTATTGATTTATATGTTTAATTGTATTGTATATTCTGATAATTACACGCATACATATACAATTATTGTACAAACAAAAAAATTTTTATTTTTATTTTTTTAAATACAGCAACCTACACCGTATTCCTTTTCCAAGATTTAGGTTCAATCCCATTAAATTGCCCTCGAGCATCAACAATACTTAATCAAGCTTGCAGGATTAGAATGCTAAATTTCTTACTAATGTGGTCATATACTGCTTTATATTGCCTTACGGTACTTCTTGAAATAGTACGATATTTACTCCATCGCAATTCTAATTCTAATTCTAAGGGTGATTTAGAGAATGGTGATAATGAGCAAAAAAGGTCATACCATCCACTATTCTCTATGTCTGATACGTCAACAAATTCTGAAAATAGCGTTTCAAGGAATATAAGTGTAACATCTAATAATGAACATCTTAGTAGTTGTAGTACAACGTCGAAAAGTCCATTATCGCGACCAAAACCTACACGTAATTCTTTATTTTCACCACCTTCTCATGAGCCGAAAATAACAAATTAATTTATTTTTGGAAATCATACGATATAAAAATTCGCATTACGTATCATAATATATATATATATATATATAATATATATATATATATTTATATTTATATATATCGATATATCAAAATTTAAATACACTGTATATGGAAACCGTCTAAAATTTTTCGTTATAGAATACAAAGAGAAATAAATAATAGTATAGTTAAATACAAAGAAAAATAAATATATACAAAGAAAAACTTGGTGTTTTTCTTTTTAAAATTCAATTTTTTTGAATTGAATACCTTTGATTTTATTTTTAGTAAACCTTACGTTTCTAAAGCATCTTGGTTTTATTTAGAAAATAATTCTTAAAATCGTTACCACTTCTGCATTTCGATTTCGAACGTTTATGCTTTTGAGATACTAATTTGGTTAGGCACATACGCATTTATAATGTCATACTCCGTAAACGAGGGACTACGTATCATCAATGTGATGGAAATTGACCATATTCAGCAATACATTGTTTTGCCTATCGTTTTTATCTGCATCCAAAGAAAATACGTACGTACAGTAAGTACGTATCGGTATGTACAGTACGTAGTAACGGCCCAAATCAATGCAATATTCGTCTGGGTACACTATTTTCTGGTTCCAATCTTTATTTGCGTAACAGTTCAAACTCTTAAAACTAGATAGAACCGGTTCGTATACAGACCGAGGTTCACGTAATAATTATCTTAACGGTAATATTATACTGTAATTAGACAATATCTACTGTAATTAGATAATATATACTGTAATTAGATACGTATTCAATCCTACATTTGTGGTATGCACGCCCCAAGTTGGCTATAGCAATAGTAAATAACTTTAATTGACCCTAATTTGTTTTTAAATTCATTGATCAAGAGATAAGATCACTGATTTAAGGAGGTTATTTAATTATTTTCTGTACGTACGTACATATAACAACATAATAAAGTTACGGCAAAAAAATGCCCGTAACTCATTTTAGTTATTACAAAGTTACACAAGTTACGGCAATAGTTACAAAGTTGTTACGAAAAGTTACGGAAGTTTCGTCCGCACCACTAATACGTACATACATACAGATTTGTGTAAATAATTTGACTAACACTATATATCAATACGTATAATTTCTTATTAATTTCTTATTAGAAATTTGCTGTAATTTCGGCAACCTGCAGAATTCCCTACCATGAAAATCCTCTGGTTTTAACCGCTTGGAGGGACGCAATTGGCTTATTGGTCTATTGATTAATCTTTCTAATCGGATGATGCCGGGTATCATGTTTTCTTGGGACATTGTCAATTCATGATTCGAATAACTCTAATTCAAATTACGTAATTTTTTTCTATTTTGACCCGAGTTAAGCTCCTAATTAATGTCAAATTACGTGATTAAATTTTTATGGGGTTAACCCAGTTGAAAATAAAATTTTAAATTTTTAAAATTCGCGAGTTAAAATGAATTGATCACACAACTGCCATATATATTAATAAAATTTGAAAAAAATATAATTTCCTTTTTTTGTAAATCGTAATACTGTAGTAATAAAAATCCTTTATAATTTTGACTCAATTTCTATAATTAATAAAATAATTCAATTAAAATTCGGCCAAAATTAACTCGATCAAATGATTCGAGTACTTATGATTATGAATTTAATTCGTACAAGTTAATACGACTTTATTGATAATGCGGATTGAGTATGTAATAATAATTAACGTCTTGATAACCTCACGCGAGATAAACTTAGCATATATTTATATATCGCGTGACTTGCACGAGATACTTATATGGATCTCTCATATGACAAAAATTGTAACCTAGTATGTATATAGTATATTACAATTTTTTAGTGATAAATTTACTAAACTTATTAATTCAATAATTGCCGTAATATTACTATTTATAAAGATTACCTTGTAATCATCTCGCGCAAAGGTAGTCTTGTCTTATTAATCCGTCAATAAGTTAATATTGAAATTATGTGTAATATTCAACAATATTTTAAATCACGAATGAATCTTTGGCCGTCGAAATAAGTCTCACAAAGCCTGATGACACTGTTCAATGACTAATGTTACTAACCAAAATTCAAAAAAATTAATTTTAACGACACGAATAAAAATGATATTCAATAGGGCTTATCCGATTGTTGGAAAATTTAATCCTATTGGTATCCTTTTTGGCGCAAAAGGAGGTCAATAGGTATTTTTTTTTTACTTATTTAATCAATAGTAACCAATTGGATAGGATTTTTAATCGCAAGCTATATATGTCGATATATCGTTATTTAAAAAAAAAACTGTTATGATCAATATATAGTTAACGTTAATTTACTATCGATTATTATAGTTTAAATAGTTTGCAATCTGGTTAATTTATACGTACTTGATTGGTTACTAACGCTATATATTGATTAAATAGTTTATAATTAGTAATTATTCCCATTGACGTTGATAATTATTCGAGATAATTATTTGACTTGTTGGTCTTGATCCAATCTCTACTTGTTGAATCCTGATTGATTCCCTATTGACTTCTTTTTGCGCTAAAATTCGTCAACAATATGATGTCAATAGGATTAAATTTCGCAACAATCAGGTAACCCTATTAATTCCCGATTGAATATCATTTTACTTGTGCGGGTCAACAGGTCAAACGGAAATTCATAACGATAAGGTTTTTAAGGTAATTCTTAAAAGTTGATGTAACTAGTAAAGAGAACAACCACTGAGCAGCCTGTACTCCAAATATTTAAATGGAATTTTTCGGATTTTGTATTAAAAATTTTGTCGACCTTGCTCGTGATTTGAGTTCGTTCATTTTCTGCTTCGGGAAATACCAAATTACAGCTGTTTTTATAAATTTTGGAACACCTGGTAAAATTACGGGAGTTTCTCAATATACAGTATCCGTATCTTTGAAAGTGCGACTTATAGAAGGCATACTAACACCAAAGTGTTTCGTAACTTTTTTTGAATTTAAATTTTGAATTTAAATTTTTTTCAATTACTGTATTTGCCAGTGAAGATGCTTTGAAGTATCATATCTCTGTATTCAACCAGAGATATATATACATACTACGCGTGCTAAGTCTTGTAATATTTACATTAGTCACCGGATCTTAAATTATATACAATAAATCAATTGAATCTATCGCTTATTATGCCGGAATTATAAACTTAATCGAATTAGTTGTCCCAGAATTTATGAAAATAGCTATAACAAGCCAATTTCGACCTATGACACGTCAAGACGATTGCCTGCACAGATCAGACGACCTGGATAAAAGCTTTACTACTTAGTAAATTATAATGTTTTCTACCCATACCGATACAGTTATACTAGGTAAATTGCGCATTTTAGCAGGGTTTTGAATTCTGGCCCGTGACCCGCCGGATCGGGTGACCCGTATGGATCAACCGACCCGGGTCAAAGCTCTTGCAGTTACTTATATTTCTAAAAATTAATTTAGATGTGCAAATGAAATTCGCTGGTCATTTATTAAGAGATTAGACGATTATAAAGTGAATTCCGTTACTTTAGTCATGACCTATGTTGACTTGACTCAGCTTATGATTCAACTAGTTCCAATGGTTTACTTTTTGTCTGATGAGGTAGAATTTCTTCTGCTGGTTTAAATATGTTGTGCTTCAGATCAATTCTTGCCTTAGATGTTAATCGGCCTGAATTAGAGTTAAAGTTAGGATAAGAATTAGGCTATAATTTAGGCCAATTAATGTTAATCAGTTAATGCCGGCCAAGCAATCAATACCTGAGATGCCTTAGTTATCACCTGAGGTAAAAATCGATCTGAGGTACAACATATGTATAGTATCTGCCAGATAACTATAGGCATTGGTTAAATATATAAATAAAAGCTTTTTATTTTTAAAATATTAATTTAAACATTTTAGATTTAAGAAAAATTTAAACAGTGCCTTCAAATACTTTGTGCTTCTATAGCAAAATTAAGCCTGCAATATAAATTAGGATTAGGTTACAAGTAGAATTAGGGTTAGAGTTAGGGTTAGGGTAAGGTAAAATTGTGAGAGAAACATTTTTGTTTATATTATATAACAGAATTATCTAGTTAAAATTTTAAAATATTAACAATTTATAATAGAAGTACTAAGTATACAGAGCATTGACTAGTTCTATTTTAGATTTATATTAAACTTAAAATATATTATATATAAAAAAGACAAAAAGAAACCCTTGCATTGATAGATCTAACAAATATATAACTAGCTTTAAAATTATTTAACTTTTTAAATATCTTGGTATAGCATTTACTTCTAATCCAATATACAATATTCTATATATTATTCAAGAGAGTTCTATCTTTCTAGAATCTCTGCTTTTTTCATACTCTAAATATTTAACCTTCAAAAAGTAACTTATATATCATCATATTTTATATCTTAACCAACTTATCACTTTTGATAACTCATACTTATTAGATTAAAACATATTTTTTTCTTATATACACAAAATTCTAAAAAGCAAACAGCTACTTTGGTTTACTTATTTAAAAGATCTAGTTACTAATTACTCTTCTAATCACACACTTTATTAACATCTACATCTACCTCAAACAAACTATTACAGTTATACAACTAAACACTTTTCTTTACAAAAAAGTCATAGCTTATTACAATATATAATAATCAAATTATTATTAACAAAATTAAAAGACAACCTTTTTTATTTAGAAATATTCTTATTATTTACTAGCAATGTTATATTGAATCACAATTTACTTGCCTCTATCCTTTTTCACCTATTCAATTATATATATATCTTGGTTGCTTTCTTAACTCCTATACAATTGCTAATAAATATACAGTTATTATTTCTATCAACTTTTCAACCTAATTTTTTAGCTGAGTAAATATATCTAATAAAATTCTTAACTTTAATACCAACCATCTAGACTTTATATATTCTATTGTAATTAGACATCTTATTTATATTGCTACACACTCAATTTCAATAATTTTTGGATCTAGCTTGTCAACAAATAATCTTCAACAGATCACTAACTACAATTCTAACTTATCTGAACTTTACTTTTATACTGATGGCTCTGTTATTGATTTAGGAACTTCACAATACTCTATAGATATTGGATGAGTTTAATTTTCTTACTATATATATTTTATGTTTAGACAAAACTTTAGCCTTGTTTATTTAAAACAGAACTTGTAGCTATTTTATTAGCTTTTATTATTGTTTCCAGAAACTGTACTATAAATATATATTGATATTCAATCTGTAATTTCTAAATGCCAAAGCTTTATATATTTTTCTATCACTCTATCATATACATATATACTATACTTTTCACTATAAAATATACTTATTAACTTTATCAAATCTTATAATATTCATATTACATTTCACAAAGTTACTACTTATCAAGATGACAATTATAACAATCATGCTAACTAACTTGCATGCAACTATTATAATTTACTATATTTTATATTTATGCCTTATAATTTCTACAATCTATCTTATACTCTAACTTTTAAGAACTTTCTTTAGAGTTAACTATCCACTATAGTATTTATACAATATGTTATACTTATATCTATACATTATAGATAACACAAAACTATTTTCAAAAATGGAACAAAATTTTTAACTAAATTAATTAGCAAGTTACTTGGTTATATTAATAACAATCAAAAAATTTCTAACTTCTCATACAGTTTTCAATCCTCTGCTCTTAAGTTCTTTAAGATTAAAATTTTATTAGATGATCTCCCTACTTCATATATTTTATACAAATAATATTATTCATATTCACCTACCTGGCATCAATATTATTATATCAGCTCTTATCTTCACTAAATAACCTGTCTATTTGACCAGCTACTATTTAATTTAATAGATAATTTATTACAATATACTCTTAACACAACTACACTCAACACTACTTAGAACATTATAACCAACCTACATAATCAGATTAAACAACTATATTGCATAACTATACACAATATACCAGATACACTTTCAGTCTTCTCAACACTATCTGGCCTAGTATCAAATGAAATTGTCACCTCAGTTTTAAACAAAAAATAGCTGTAACACTTGTTATTAAATTTTTATTTCATCTTAATCAACAAGTTTATTATAAAATCTGGATTTCATACTATATTTTTAGATCAACAGCCCATTCTTCTACTGATGACCTACCTTCTAATCTTATTTCATACACATCTCAACCTCTTCCTTCTATTACTATTAGCTTCAAGATAAATTTTTGATATATATTGAATCAAATA